GCACAAGCAGCCACACAAGTCAGCTTTGGGAGCTCTCGGCGACGCCCAATGCGTGCGCCGGTAGGGGGGAGTGTGTGCGCGCGTGTGTGAGATGAGGATTGTGGCAGGCTGGCTGCTGCTGATGTGGGCAAGTGTGCTCTGTGTGCGGCGCTGCGCTGGCGTGCGACGCGCGCGTGCTGTGTACGTGTGCGTGCTGCGGTCGCGCGCGCGTCTGTGTGTGCTGCGCGCGCGCCGCCGGTGTGTGCTGTGCGCTGTGCTCTGTTTTGCGCCCTGTTTGTGCAGCTGGGAGGCGCAGGCTTGGCTGGCAGGGCTGCGCGGTGGGCTGCGGCGTGCTGCGGGTGGTCGCGCGCCTGCCTGATGGTGTACGGCGGCCGCGCAGCCCGCCCGACCGGGTCGTCGGCGGCCCAGGGCGCGAGCATGCGGTCGGCGCTGCATGTGAGGCTGCTGCGCGGCTGGCGCGTATGTTTCCGTGCGGCGAGGGACGCGCGTATGTGTTCACGCTGCGGGCGCGGGCGGGCGCGGGGGGCGGCGCGGTCTCACCGCGGTCCGACGTCGGTTGGTCTTCGGCGTGGCGAGGGCGGGCGCGCAAAGAGGCCTTGCCGCCATCGCGTTGCCGCGAAGGAAAAAGAATACTAAAGAAATTTTTTCTCAGCCGGTCACTTGATGACACCATGAAGCGATCGCCATCTTGCTGGCTCTCTCGGCTATGGGACCGGCCCCAGCTTCGGCTGAGGGCTGACAAGCTGCCGAGCCCAAATCACAGTGCGAGTCGTGATTTCTTGTTGGGCGCGGGGAAGCAGTGACCAGGTCGCAGGTGAGAGCAGGATGAGGAAAGAGGTACGCCCTCTCAGACGTCAGAGCACAGAGGCGGCGGGCGGGTGCGCCCACAAGAAGATCCTACTTCGAACTTCCTGGATACATTATTGTGCATGCACATGTGCATGTCATGTTCATGTTCATGTTCATGTTCATGTTCATGTTCGTGTTCATGTTCATGTTCATGTTCATGTTCATGTTCATGTAGATCCCCACATACCCCACACATCCCCAGAGTGCAGAGAGGTATGTATGTACCTGTAGAAAGATTTAGGTTTGGGGAGGGCGCGAGTGGGAGACTTTTCGGCGGTCGAAAATGCGGCGGAATGGGATGTGCCCTTAGGGAAGACCTTTGGGACGACCTGTCGCCCGAAAAAAGCAGCGATCGATGCCGGCGCCAGACGCGGCGCCGCGAGGCACACGGGCGCCGGCGTGGCGCAGCGGCGAGGCACACGGCGCGCCGGCACGCTTTATATAAAGTAATATATCTTTACTTCCAAAACCCGGACGTTCCCAGGGTTATATGGAAGGTTCGACACACCCCACCCCGGACTGGGCGGAGACTCCCCCCGGACTGGGCGGAGACGGGAGAGGTCCCAGGAAAACGCTGCTGGGCAGCGAAAGCCCCGCCCCCACTTGCACTGACTGCACAGGATAGCGTGTACCCCGTGCGACAAACGGCGACACATGGCGGGGGACACTGCGCCGGGGGGTATGCCTAACTGTGGTGCTTCGCGTGTGCTCAGTGCTGTGGCGTGTTGGGGGTCGCCGCGGCACCGCGCACGCCGCTCGCCGGCAGCGCCAGCGGCACGCTTTATAATTATTATTAGAAACAGTGGGTTTGCGGGGTGGGTGTGTGGTACAGGGATATTGAGGTAAGAGGGATCATTCGAGAACCGGAGATACCCTCTATTCACTCCCCTCTCCCCAACGCGTCTCTGTTCGACGGCTCTTCTCAGCGGTGCGGGGTTCGCCGGTGCAGCGATTTTGAGCCCGCCCGCGTCATCTCGGGCCGTCGAGCGCGTTGCGGAGAGAGGTGAGGGGTGCGCGTCGTCGGCGCGGGGCGGGCCGATTGGCCGCTTCCCGCGCCTACGAGGATCAGCTCATGAAGGCGAGCCCGGGCCTGCCGCGCGCCCAGTCGGGCGTCGGCTGCGCGTAGCGCGGGTCGGCGGAGGGCTGCTCCTCGTACGGGCTGCGCAGCAGCGCGTGCAGCGCGTGGACCGCGGAGCTGTCGCCGCGCTCGGCCGCCTCGTACGCCTCGGCCAGCATCCAGTTGCGCAGAATGTACTTTGGGTTCGCCGCCGCCATCTCGCGCCGCCGCTCCCCGTCCGGCCGCGCCTCGGCGCCCACCCTACCCCAGTACCGCGCCGCCCACTCGCGCCACGCCTCGAGGTGCTCCTGCGGCCACTCGGCAGCGCCGCCGATCGCCGCCGCCCGCGCCGCCGCGAGCCCGTCGCCGCCGTCCGGGAGGTCGTTCGTGAGGTCGCCGAGCGAGCGGAAGAAGACGGTGAAGTCGATGCCCTGCGGCCCGGAGCGGGTCGCCATCAGCCCGAAGAGCGACGTCCACAGCTCGGCGGCGTCGTCGTCCCAGGAGACGAGGCCGAGCTTGCGCCTAGTGGAGCAGGGCGGAGTGGGATGGAAGGTGCTGCTGGCTCGTGCCGGGCGGCGAGGCCGAGCTCTCGCGCCGGTTGTGCTCGTCGTGCGTCGCGTGGAAGACGTCGACGAAGACGCTGGAGACGCCTGCGGCGAGAGGGGCGGAGGGGAGGGGTGAGGGGCAGGGGGCAGTGGGAGGAGGGTGGGTGGCGAGAGGGGCTCGTGGGTGGCGAGATGGGGCGGCGAGCGAAGGCGAGCGAGGGCGAACGGTGCGAGACGGTGCGCCGCTACTCTTCTCGGCTAATCTCGCGCCCTCGCGCGTCTGCTGCACGGCCTCGTCCGCCTCAGCGCGCGTGAGCCCCTCCTCCGTGGCGACGGCGCGCAGGAGGTCTGCCCACGCCTCGGAGAGGATGGAGAGGTTGATGGCCGCCGCCTGCGGGCAAGGCCGTGGACGCGTCACGGGCGAGTCCTCGAACGGCGGCGCGTGTCTGCCGAGGTGCGCCTGAGGCTGCCGCCCGAAGGAGTACTCCGCCCCTCCGCCCACCCAAGGGCAGTGCATCGGGTCGAACCGCTCGAGGAAGCCGAAGGGGCCGTAGTCGAGCGTCACGCCGCAGAGGGCCGAGTTGTCCGAGTTCATGTTGCCTGCGTCATGACATAACACGTGACACAATCTAACGACAGTGAGGGCCGAGTTGCCCTCCGAGGTCATGTCACCCTGACAGTAGCCGACGCGCAGCCACTCTGCCACGAGGCGCGCCTGCCGCTCGCACACCTCGCGAAACAGGAGGACGAGCAGCCGCGACAGCGGCGCCTCCGGCTCCTGCAGCCACACGGAGGGCGGGGGGGCGGCCTCACCCACCTCGGCCGCACCTCGGCCGCATCTCCGCCCCTCCTGCGGCTGCAAGGGCCTGCTGCTACTACTACCGCTCGCGCTGCTACTCCTCCCCCTCCTGCAGCCGCAGGTGTGCAAAGTCGCGGCCGAGAGCGTGCACCGCGAGGGCGCGGAGGAGGGCGGGCTCGTCCCGCTGGTAAAAGAGCTCAAACTGGCCGAAGCGGAGGAAGGAGGGCGCCACCCTCGCACCCACCGCCCCCGGCTCGAGCCCCACCCGCTCCCTGCCTTGCGAGTCGTACCACGCCCGCTGGACCGTGTCGCCGCTCGCCACGACCGCGAGGGCGCGCGTCGTCGGGACGCCGAGGTGGTGCATCGCCTGGCACAGCGCGCGGCGGTGAGGAGGCGCCTCGCGGCTCTGGCAACGGAGGAGGCCTGGCGCGCCTCGCTCGCGAGAAACTCTCGCACCGAGGAGCGGAGCACGGCCCGCCCGTCGAAGCGGCGGCTGAAGGGCGTGGTGCCCGCACCCTTGAGCTGCACCTCGAGCCCGTTGACCTGGCCGACGGAGATGGCACGCCCGTCGCCCCGCTGCCCGCCGTACCGCCCCGCGAAGCTGGCGCCGTACGAGGTTGCCCAACACGGGACCGCTTCCGGGACCTTGCCCGCGAAAAACTGCAGAAACTCGTCGCTCTCGCAGGTCTCAGCCGAGAGGCCGAGCGAGGAGGCGACTTCGGAAGAGTAGGCGACGAGGCGTGGCGCCGGCGCCGGCACCGAAGGACGGACACTCACGTAGTGGGCGCCTCGGACCTCTCTGCTCAGCTGCGGAGGCTTGCCAGACTCGTCCGGCACGAGCTCGCGGAGCAGCGAATTGTCGACGGCCGATGGCCAGTCGCCGATCGCTACGGCGGATATGGTGGCCAGCGTGCGGCGCAGCCCGTGAGCTGTCACGGAGCTGGCGCTCCGCGCCGCGGAAGGGGGCGGTATCATGGAGGTAGCCGCCGACACGGTAGCCGCCGAACACACGCTGTCGGAGATATGCGCCTGCGGTGTGAGCTAGGCGACGCTGAACCTGGTCAGATCCCTCACCGTCGTCGGCCCCCGGCCAGGCGTACGTTCTTGTTTCTTAATCACCCAACTGTGTGAAGTGTCGCGCTCTACAACATGTACATGTATTCATGACCGGTCTCAATGCCCCACCCCCCGCCTGCGCGCGGGCCTTCTAGGCCCGCGGGTAGTCTCCCCCCATCCCCAGGGCCTCCAGGGCTCGCACCTCAACCTCTCACAGACCAGCGCATAGCGCCATAGGACGTATTTTCTTCTCATAACAAGGCTGTGAATGCGCGCGGGCCTTCTAGGCCCGCGGGTAGTCTCCCCCCATTCCCAGGGCCTCCAGGGCTCGCACCTCAACCTCTCACAGACCAGCGCACAGCGGTCAGCGCCATAGGAGCCAAGCTGCAGAACATGTGCGAACCAGTGCCTATGACGCTCAAGGAGTAGGCGCGGAGCGCCGCGCGCGGAGCGCGCCCCGAAGAAAATTTTGAGGGTTGTGGGGTTGCTAGATGCGATTTCTATTAAGAGTTTGACTCACACGCAAGGAACCAATCGGCCCACCCACAGGCCCAATCTCGAGTGGCGGCGCTCCGCGCCTACCCATGCAGCGGCGCGCTCCGCGCGTGTTCTGCAGCGGCGCGCTCCGCGCGTGTCTCTGTATCTAGCCAGCGCGCTCCGCGCGTGTGTGTCTAGCTAGCGCGCTCCGCGCGTGCGGTGTCCAGCTAGCGCGCTCCGCGCGTGTCCGGGTAGAGCACCGGCGCGCTCCGCGCGCATGAGAATCCAGTGCTTATGCTCATAAGCACTAAAAGCTCGTTTCTGCAGCTTGGCATAGGAGGTAATTTCTTCTCTCAATAACAAGGCTGTGAACCCATACAAGGGACAAAAACAAGGGACCCAGAACATATGCGAGTTTGAGCCCCGGAGGCGCAGGGATGGGGGTCGACCTCCCTAGAGGGTGTGGATGCTGGGTTGAACAAAATCGGAGGACGCGACCCACTTCGCCACAGACGGTCCCGCGCCTCGCCGCTAAGACAGTGGCACGCACCGCGCAGCGGCGCGTGCCACTGTCTTTGTCCGGAGTGAATACTCCAACGCGCTCGTCGGTGACGGTGTCCTCCAACCTGCGCCGCGCTCGGCGAACCTCGACAGCGCTTTCGGTGGCATGCAGCTCTTTGCGACAGAAGCCTGGAGAGCAGCTCCTCTGCTGCTCACACACTCTGCACAGCTGACACAGCCTACTGTGCGGCTGCCACAGCTGTGACAGCGATGGGCTCGCCCTCACTGGCCCTCAGTCACTTGTGCTGCGGCTTGTGTGAGCGACACTGCTCGGCGACTGCCGGCACACTGTGAGACCATGGGTGTGAGGTCAAACCACACTACCAGCGCTTGGTCACATCGGCCCCGAGGTCAGATCCATCTACTCTGTTGATGACAAGACTTGTCTACTCGCTGCAGCCGAGCAGGAGGGCTTGGCGCACAACCCCTGTTCAACTCACCCTCCACACCCCGTACAGACGCTGAATGGGTGCGTTCACACTGACTCTCCCTGGCGCCTGGGGCTCAGACCACAGACGACTGTGAGGACGAGAAAGAACAGGAGTGAGGAGAAAATCGTTTCTGGCATCGCCCACATCGGTCTTGTGTATCACACGTTTTCACACCTCCCACCCCGCTCTTCGATACCGCCGCAGCTGCGACTCCACCCCTTCCAGCCCACCAGTGTGGAGGTACAGGGTGGTCGCGTCGCCCTCGCCCGCGCGCTCGTGCGAGAGGAGCGTGTCGAAGAGCACTCGCAGGGCGTGCGGCGCGTACAGCAGGTCGACGTCGAGGCCGGCGCGGGCCGCCTCCTGCCACATCGCCAGCTCCTCCCCGTCGAGGGCGCCGAAGTGGTGCGCCGCGCCGCCCGGCATCGCGAGCGTGCGGGGCAGTGCCTTTCTGTTAGTTCCTACGGCGCCGCCCGTGCAGCGGTCGAGCGCGAGCATCTGCGCCTCGATGTAGTCTCCGTCGCCGACGCACGGCACCGCCCACACGGTGACGGCGCTGGTCTGCGAGAGGTGGCGCGCGAGGAAGAGGGCCGTCGTGCCGGTGCCCGCCGGGACGACGAGGTCGAGCCGCCCGCTCCTCGGCTGCCACCACTCGCGCACCTCGCGCGCCAGGGTCGCGACGCCGGGCTCGGCCAGCGCCGCAGCGCCGCCTTGCGGCAGCCAGAGCGCCTCCGGGGGGAGGAGGGCGGCCGGCGGCCGAGGCGCGACCGCAGGCAGCACTCCGCCGCCCGCGCCAAAGAGAGACGCGTACTCCGCGTCTGCCAGCTCGACCAGCTCCATCCCGAGGGAGAGCGCCCGCTCGAGGTTGCCGCTCGGGGCGGCAGCCAGCCACCGAGGGAGCGGCTTGGTAAAGTAGAGGAAGCGGGCACCGTGCGCGTCCGCCACCGCCGCAAGCGCCGCCATCGCGTTCGACTGGTGCCCACCGAACGAGCCAATCAGGCTCGGGCCAGGCGACATGGCCTCGAGTGCAAGCAGCTTCCGAGCCTTGTTGCCCGACACCCCCGAGCCCAGCGCAAGCCTGTCGTCGCGCTTGACCAGCAGCTGGGTGCCGCGCAGCGAGAATGCTTCGATGGGAGAGGCCGCGAGCTGATGCGCCGTCCCGTGGCAGACTCCGACCGCCAGCATGGCTTGGTAGCGAGCGCGGGCCGGCATCAGCGAGAATGCTTGATGGGAGAGGCCAGACGCGCACAGCGCCGTGAACGTATTTTCAAAAACAACAAATCGGCACCACAAGACGTACGTGTGTTCGTGTGCGTCGCCCATCTCTCCCTGGAGATGACTGCTCTATTTATTTATTAGGAAGAGGGCGATAGCAAGAGTCGAACGGGCGGCGCCTGACTCAAAAGACACAGCCGCATTCCTGAGACGCGCGAGGCACGAGGGCAGCCTCCTTAAAGGCAATGGGGTCTAGATTTGGAGCGCTCGCCGAAGAGGAGTACGACAAAATAGCGCCCGTGATTGCCTGCACGCTGCCCGCACTCACGGACTCCATACCCGAAAGAAAGAGAGGGGAGCTCGCAGGAGAGGTGACGAGTGAACTACACTCTACAGGCGTAGTGGGGAAGGCAGCCTCGATCGCCATACAGACATGGGTGCGAAACAACGACAAGACCAAGGCACGGGCAGAGGAGAGAGAGAAGAATATAGGATGGATAAAGTGCCTATTCACGGCATGGCTTGTCCGCCCTCAGCCGAAGCTGGGGCCGGTCCCGTAGCCGAGAGAGAGCCCGCGCCGTGAGTTCGACGCGGTCGGGGGGGCCTGCGGAGAGGCCAGCGAGGTGGCGATCGGTACTTCATGGTCGTCATCAAGTGACCGGCTGACAAGCCAGAGGTCGATACTCTGGACGACCCATAGGATGCCACGAATGCCTGAAGGAGAGGGAGGCGAGGCCAGAGGCAGACTCAGCTGCTCTCGGGTGATCTCGCTTTGGTGGCCGAAGGACCCGATGGTCCTGTCACATTCGCGTTCCGAGTCGTGGGGGTAGAAGAATTCGAGTAGAAATCGAGTCAGCACTTCCTTGTAGTACAGCGGCCCGCCAGGCTCACCGGCAGCACACACACACACCGGCATGGAGGGTGAGCCACGCCGAACGTACTGAACGTAAGAGCCGAACCGCCGTCCTCCCATCCCTCCCTTGGCGTGTCTGTTTTCTTTCTTTTTAGGAACAGGCGGACGCCCTAGCGCCTAGGGTGGGCGACGGCTAGCGCATCACACCCCTCTCCTTAAAATCCCTGTGTGGTGGCGGCGTACCTTCTCCCACCCCCCCCTTTTGTCTGTTTTCTTTCTACTACAATTCTTTCTTTCTTTCTTCTCCGTTGCCTTTCTTCCCTTTATTTGACACAGGCGTTACATCGAGCGCGACGAGACCGCCGAGGACGCTCCTAGCGCTATGCCGAGAGGGTGGGAAGGGCTCCCGCAGTCGGAAATATACCGGCGTCGATTTGAATCGTCGGTCCTCAGCCAAAATGCTCTCATGCCTCCCACCGAGGAGGCGCGGAAGGAGTTCATGGAGTCGCTGACGCTGGAGAAACCAAAGGGGTATGCCTCCGGCCCTGACACATCCTTTGCGGAGCCCACTCCCATGCCTCGCCGCTTCATGGAGGACTCGCTGGGTGAGCATAACTCCAGATTCACCACTCAGAAGCAGCAGCACCCATGCTTCGAGACGGCCTCGAGCGACATTGGCAAGCTCCCAATCACAGAAGCAGACATGCCTCTGCGATGGTACGGCCTCGAGGGCAAATTCACGACCCAGTTCTATCTGGGTGGGGCGAGACCAGGACAGAAGGCCAACTCCGCGCTCTCCACCGCCATGGACCGCTCTTCCATCCACCACAGCTTTGATCAGGGCTGGTCTGGCAAGGCTGGGCTCCGGGATCACAACATCGGGAGCCTCAAGACTGCGCGCACGATGCTCCGGAGAGAGTAGGTGTACCATACCCCTTTGCTAGCGCATATGCTACAGCTGCCCCGGGCGGCGCCGCGGCAGGCTGCCACACCTGGGGGCTTGGGCGCTGCTTGCGGAAGCCGCTCTCTCGAGATACTCGTTTATGCACAATATCTCTCTGTCTGCCCCGCTCTAGTCTCCCGCGCTCTCGCCACTCGGGGCTCTAGCCTCTGCCGCGCGTCGTTGGCCTCGATGTGGCGGACGGGCCGCGGGCGCCGCAACGCGGAATAATTAGTAAAAAGTTCGGTAACACCACCACCAAAATTAGTGCTCCACAAGGTCAAGAACTCTCCCACGCCTGTGGTGGATGGAAGTATCAAGAGCCACGAAACTCCGCCGCCACTCCCAAAACGAAGTGTGCGCCGTGACACCAATGGTGTCGCACACACACGCTCTCCGACTCCGTCTCGTGCGTCGGTGTGGCACACCGACTAACACACACACATTGGAACAACACGCATGAGCCGCGGGCTGCGCGGGCTGCGCGGCGATGTCCAGACGCCGGCGCACAGTCCAAAGCGTAGTGTCAGTCTCGCTGCGAAAGGCGGCCGCGCCCATCATTGCGCGCCCTCTCCCAGCGCGCGCCCGAGGAAGGCGCTCGCGCGGTCGACGACTCTGGCCACCGTCGAGGGCGAGTAGATGCGGCCGGTGATGACGTGCGGCTCCTCCGAGTCGAGCACGTCGACAAACTCGGCGGCGGCGGCGGCGAGCTGGCAGCGCATCGCCGCGTACGACACCACCGGGTCGGCCGGGTTCGCGAAGACTAGCGTGGGCAGGCGCGCGCGGCCGATGGCGGCGACGTCTGCGAGCTGCACGCTCGTGTAGACGGCGCAGAGGTTGACGACCGACTCGGAGGGGTAGGCCATCGTGCAGACGCGGGCCTGCTCCTCGGACACGAACGGCACGTGGTGCGTCCTCCCCGCCACGCAGTGCACCAGCCTCGTGGCCGCCGGCAGCGGCAGCAGCAGCGCGGGCCACTTGAAGAGAGCGTACGCCCGGCCGGCGAGCGAGAGGGCGAAGCCGGGAGAGACGAGCACGAGCGCGGCGAGGGCCGGCCTCGCCCACGCCTGGCAGGCGAGCCACACCGCGAGCGTCCCTCCCGTCGAGCAGCCGACCAGGACGACCCTCCTGCCCGCCAGCCGGCCGAGCGCGAGAGAGACGGCGGCGTCGCGGAGGAGCTCGCCGCATTTGGCTTGCTCGCACAGGCCGCGCCCCGCCCGCTCCGGCGGCGCGAGCCCGTGCCCGCTCAGCCGCACGCGCACCAGGTTGGCGCCCAGCTGCGTGGCAATCTCCGCGTCGGCGGGGTCAATCTCCTCTGGCGACGCGGACCAGCCGTGGAGAAAGACGACGGCGACGTCGGTCGCCGCGCCGCGCCTGCCCGCCCACCGCACGCACGAGCTCACGCCTGGCTGCAGTGGCCCCGCCCGCTCGTCCCGCTCCGAGAGGTACGCCTCGATGCCATCCACGCCGATGCCAGGAGGGAGCGGGTCGCTCAGGTGGTCCGCAGGGGCGCTCAGAAGCGACACGACCTCGTAGTAGCGTGTGAGGACCGCGGCGAGGAGCAGCGTGAGCGCCGCTAGAAGAAAGGGCCAAGCCAGCATCTGGTCTCACAGTGTGCCGGCAGTCGCCGAGCAGTGTCGCTCACACAGTCGCTCACTCACACAAGCCGCAGCGTCAGGAACGCCCAGTGCGGAAAGAATTCTTAAATGCAAGGCTCTCTCACAGCACACTGGCACGACAAGGGCGCGGACTGGCGCGGACTGGAACAAACTGCCAAAAGTGCTTCTGTTGCTTGTTGTTGTCTGACTGTGTGTGTGTGTATGTTGGTCTCACCCGGTGGGTGGCACCGAGGCGTCTGTCTGGGACGCTCCACTCTACCTTAGCTCCTGAGGGGCGCGTGGTTTTAACCACGTAGTATGACTACAGCCCACAACAGACACCCTACCTGCTCCTCACGTGTGCACACTCCCTCACCCTCTCCTCTCTCCTCTCTCTCTCTCCTCTCTCTCTCTCTCCTCTCCTTGTCTGTGCTGTCTGCCTGACTCAGGCACTAATTCTGCCGATGCGTGATTGTGTGTGGGCTGCTCCGAGGGGGCCCTGTGCGATCCGACGGGTAGGGGGTCTGTGCCCGGGCGGTGTCCGGTGCGGAGTCTCCTTCTGATCCCGCCTGTGATGTTGGGTGTGGAGGCTGTGGCGGCTTCGAACCCAAGGGGGGGGGAGCTGATCCCACTCAGTAACCAACTCTCAGGGGCAGTAGGTGGGCGAGCCTCGAGCGCGCTCATCTCGATCGTCAAGGTGTCGCTACGCGCGGTCTTCCGCGGGGGGAGCTTCGTCGACGGGTGCGGGACCGCGGCGCAGCCAGCGTTGCGGCGATGCCTCCGGCTGCTGCGGCGAGTGGCTTGCTGCTCGCTGCGATTGCGAAAAACTCGTCTCGTCGCACACCAAGAGCTTATGCTCTGGCGAGATGTGAGGCGCATGCGCCCAGGAGGGGAGGGAGCATGCGTAACGACGCTGCTAGAGATGCCTTTCGGGGCCCAGAGATAAAACTTCTGATGCCATGCGTGATCTAGTAGTGTCCCCAGCTATGGGCGTGTCCACGTTGGAGCCAGGTGTGGTGTGGGCGCGAGAATAGCTCCGCCGTTAATGGAGGCAACCGATGCGAGTCGACTGGTGTGTGTGTCGTCGTGGTTTCGTATCAAGAATACTCACTCACTCACACGTTGTTGTATGAGCCGTGGGGAGATTCGCAGACGTCCCTCTTTTGATCGAAGAAACCCGAAGGCGCGAGGCTGCCCGCATCTTTGATTTTCTGTCTGAGTGTTGAGGTG